AATAAGGGCTTCTGTCAAGCTGCTCTGCAACAATAACCCAATCTGTGGAGAATCCGTTGAACAGATTTCGGGCTCATCCCACCAACTTTGGCCACTTCTGCAGTCGTTAATCTGGGATCCATTTCCATGCTCCTCTTGACAGAACTTTTTGTCCTCTCTCATGGACCAGGACGACCTGGACGCTGCTCAGTTGTTTCCTTGCCGTGTTTCCTGAACTGCACAATGATTCTGTTGACTGTCGAATGCGAGATTCCCAAATTCTGCAAAATTTGTCGCTGAATTATTCCACCATCTGCTTGACCAACTATCCTTCCTCTAACAAAATCTGACAATTCGAGAGAACCTTGAGTTCTAGGCATGTTGTAGCACAAGATAATTAGTGTGCGAACCACTTTCATTTATATAGTGCTCTGTGAACACAAATTAGTTAGCATAAATCAGTTAAGTGACGAAAAGTTAGGTGTCTATTTACTTGTAACCACTCAGTGTACACTGGAAGTAGATACAGCACCTCCAACATTCCTTTTCAAAACCAACCTAATTGTTTCCATATTGTTATGTTGTTTAGGAGGATTATCATACCAATGATGTTACCAATGATCACTATAGTTTTCACACTTCTTGCTCATTCCAAATTCAGTTCCGAAAAAAAAAAAGAAGAAATATCTAACTTCCAAAAGTTATTGAATTACTGAGTTCCTTGAATTGTAATTTTTGTTGTGGAAGTATTCTAAGTTTAATTATTACATGATGAGCTAGGAAAATCTTGGTAAAGGATTAGTACTTAACATCATGGAACAGGAAGATTTAAGAGGTAAGAAAGGATAGCTTAAGATAGCTTATAACACACATATAATACAGCTAGTTAAGGAGAGATTGAAAAACAGGATACTTGCAAATATGTCTGTAAGGTGGCAGACTAAGAAAACTTAAGAAAGCTGTAAATATGCCTGTAACACAGCTGAATAAGGTTCATAGATAAAATGCATTATCTGAACAGAAAGAAGGAAACAGTAAAATAACTAAACAAGAAATAAACAAGTTATCACCTGAATTACATGCCGATGTGGCCAAGCCGATTGTGGAGAAGAGTCTGAAGTGGCTGGAGACTGTTTGCCCATACGAGTTAATATGCCTCCAGTGCTGGATAAAGGTTGTTGAACAATTGCTCCTGAGAGACTGGCACTTGGATAGTTCATGCTGGAATGAGGCTGTTGTAAAGGGTCATAACTCCCATACATTGCCTGTCCAGAACCAGGACGTCGCTCTTGCAGTCCTTGAGAACCTATAGTATATGTCAACAGTACACAAGCTGTATAATGTGCAGATAAATATCAACATATTTTAACTGGGTATCCCTTTTACATTATGACAGTGTGGTATATATAACAAAACTTTATAATTATCTATACAATTTTTATTTCTCATGACCTAGTGAATCCATTTTTCACTTGTTCCTCTGTTCACAATGCATTATATATATACATATAAAACTGTGTGTGGTGAAGGTATCTGACATGCCAAATATCTTCAAAGAGTTTAAGGAGTCCAAAAATGGTATATAAACATATTTATGATGTCCTTAATTACAAATTTAACTTAAATTATACAGTTTTGGCAATTAATAAAAATTATGCAACATTTATGGAGGTTTACTGGGAGTCAAAACTTGAAAGAATATAAAAATACACTTTGAAAGATATAAACTACATTTAGCTACATCTCATAAAATGATATCAAATAGGTTTTTTTATTACTTTAAAATTAATTGTTTGAAATTTAATCGAATACATAAATAACTGAAACTGGATTATAATGCCTACAGAGGTTTTAAATGTTTTTAAGTTTCCAGAAAGTTTTCTGATTCCATGTGATGGTTTTAAAATACTGAAGATATCTTGGGCATATAATGCCTGGTTATGAAAAGATGTTGAATCCAAGATTTTTTCTTTATAGTCAAGGAAGTCAAGATCTGCATTTAACACACCTGCCTTTTTTCATTTAACAAATTACAAATTCTTAAGACATTAAATCTTTACATTTACATTTGCATACTACAACTTACTTCACCAAGTAAAGTTAGTAGTCTAGGTTTACACATGCTAATTAGTTACCTTGTATATGTGCCCTAGGAATCATGGGATAGATTTCCCCTGAACGTTGCATACTGTAGTCTAGACCTTCTGGCTTTCCTTGGGATGGCATCATGCCACCAGGTGGCAAGGAGTGGCCTGGATATTGGCCCATAGTTGGATCTGCACTTACAGATGATGCAGCACTAGTGGGACCTTCATTTACTGGGGTGTTGACATCTGGTTGCTGATGATGTAGGCTCCTGAAACAAAGTAATACAATGAGAATCTGATGAATATGTAAAAGATCAGCTATTAATGTTCACTTAAAAATGAAAAGGAGTTTTATCACATATGCATAACTTTTATTTTAAATTGTTAATAGTAAATGGAACACAAAATAAGTTAGTAGTACTTGACAGAAATAATGGTACACACATTGCACTTTTTAACATGTTATTGTTTTTAGAATATGAAAAGGTTCGTATTTGGCCAGTGTATTGGTACATAAAATTCACTCTTTAATTTTCTACATTGAGTAAATATAATCTTATTTAGCAAACACACTAATAAACACAATACATTCTCATTCTGTTTCTGATGAGGGATTGTAAAAAAAGTTCCTATTTGGCAGCAGTGGTGGACACTAGGGGGTGCAGTTGCAATCCCAATGATAAAAAATGTTTGGATACAGCTTTAAAGGACACAAATCATTAGACTCATTTAATACAGACAAATAAAATGTAAACTTGACATATTATGCATCATGGGTTATATCACCCATGAACCCTCAATAATTTCAAATCTGTTTGCCAGACATATACAAACATATATTTCACTCTTAAACTGATACCAAACATGATGATTACGATGTTCTCTTTAGCTTGCTACTCTAGAGGTATTACACAAAAGGGTTTTTAGAAACAAACAGGAAGACTTTTCAATTTCATAAAATTTGCTACTGTTAAGTACACAGATCCTACTATTGAGAGAATATAAATGAGTCATGACTTTGCAAACATACTGTTCTTACAGTGTATTTTCAATTAACTTGTTAAATATAAAGGAACATGAAAAGTTCTTACTTGGCAGATGAATTGGTACACACTATATATTCTACATCATTAGTGTACGGGTTAAGGAATGCAAAACTGCTTGTACGAAGCCATATCCACTCCCTATTCTTCCCACGGAAACGATACATGACAGACATAACCTGGCCTTTCAGTTTTAATACTACAAACAAAAAATAAACCATCAGTATTCATAAATTGAATATGTTTTCTCACAAGTATTCTAAACTGCTGTCTCTTTCAAACATTTTAAAAATATCTGTTTTTTATATCAAGAACATTTTTAGATCTATATCTTAATAATAATAATAATAAATTCAAATTAAACATAAATATTATTCAATTTTATTTTCTTATGAATGTTAAACATTAAAGACAAGCAAATAAAAAATTTATTTCATAATTTGAAATCAAACTGAAAAACATTTGCAAATGCTTTCAGCTTAACATCTTGTTTATCATTAATATTAATGGCATACATTCACAATCCTTTATCACATTCTACATCTTTTGATGTGTGTTTATTAACACAAATATCTGAAGATTTGATAAAAGGTTTGTATAATTGGTGTAACCATTTCTGAGTACATTTATATTTGAAAGTTGAGTATGTCATATGATTTTGAAACCTCAAGAAGTCATTATCTGAAAAATGTGAATCTTGATAATAGCCCTCCAGAGTAATTTCCATTTCAAAAGGCTCCATACTAAGGCAGAGATCCTTTTTGATTATGCTATTTACTGGTGTCTGGAGCATGTAGACAGATTTTACTACTGATCTTTGTGTTAATGGATTCTTACCTGCTACATGGTTGAGTACTTTGTTTATCATGACTGGGATAGAACTTGTTACAAGTCTCTTTATGAATGGTCCTAGTTTTCCTAATTGATCCATATATCTTTGTTTTTCTATGTCATTAAGTACAATGGATATCCCCATCTTGGAAATTCTAAATTCGTGATCTGAATACCTTTTTATAGCTTGAGAGTAAGAATATTTTGTGTCACAAAGGGCTGTTTCACACCCTTTCCAAAGGCGATCAATTATCAGTTGCATCACACTACCTATGAAACACTTGTTAATTTGCATATTCAAAATTGTTTTCATATAACATATCTAACCTTCTGTAACATTTGTAATCATATAATTGGCAGTTCAATGTTTAAAACACTTAACAAAAATTAGTTTTTAAATGTTTGTTTATGCTTTCTTGCAAACAATTTATTAGTGTAATATACATAAAACAAAAAACACATACTTCCTGAAAGATAACCGACATCATGTTACGTTAAAAGCTGTTTACAGTTTACATCTACAAAACTGACCCTTTTTTTGTAATTTGCAGAAACAATTTTATGAATTTTATTTTTAGACCATATAAATTATGTATCTTGTGATTTACCATAAATCTGAGATTAAATTTCAGTATCAAAATATTGATTGTCTGCATTGATTTTTGGATGAGTGCAGCAAATTCTTGCAAATCACTTTTGAAAAAAAACAAAGATAAGTTTCAAGTCAACAATAAACTGGAATTATGTTTTCCTACTAGGATAGTAAAGGTGTGAGAGAAATTGTGACTAAATAGTTAAGCTAACAAACATTTGTCTCATTGAATGATCTTTGAGTGAGCATGACTTTCCTAGGTGATCTTGACTAACAGTTGCTCAGTAACTTGATGAATTATAAAAACAACACGCTGGATCACCAAATGGTTTCTTTCTTTTTTATTTATTTTACATGATTTAGTAAAAGTCATTTACTCCTGAAAATAAAGACTACCATGCTTTGAAAGAAATGTACTGCTTTATAATTAACCTGTCGACAATACCTTGTTCAAAACTTTCTTTCATATGGGTCTGGTCCTCAGGATGGAAAAAGTCAAAACAAGTTTTTCCTAAAAGTTCTTGAGGCTGGTATCCTAAAACCCCATATACACTGTAGGAAAAAATAAGTCAGTTTAAATCCTCTAAGACTCTGCAGAAATACTGCATAAAAATTCTAAATTTCAAATTCATTACTTACAATAATTTTTACTAGGTGTCAGTTCACCAAACTTAAGATTTTAATTCTTTTCTTGTAAAATCTTTTTTTTAAACAAACATTAGTCTTTTGCCAATAACAAAATTTTAACCAAGTTCATTAATATTTCTTTGTTGTTAAGTAAAAAAATAAACAATGGGTTATCTGTGCTCTGCCAATCATGGGTATTGAAATACAATTTTTAATGTTACCAGTTCTCAGACTTACCACTGAGTCATTAGTAGGCACTTATTCAGGAACTTATACTAAAAAGTGCAAATTAAAGATATTTTCCTATTTTACACATATTAGGTATAAACTGACAGCAAAATAAAATTACAGTATTCAAATTTGGATTAAATTTTAACAATATCTTTTTTATTATACCTGTAAAGTTAAAATGTCACTACACTGTAGTTCAGTCGTTTCTGATTTAAAAAATTCTAAAACAGTGTATTTTTTAATTACAATTGATTTACATGAAAATGGAAAAAAATAAATAATATTTATAAAGTAAATATGTTGATTTTATATATTTTTTGATTGAGGCTTATAAGGTGGGTGAGAAATAATTTAATGGATAGATGATAACACATTTTACTCATCTTTCAGCCATTGTTCTGTAGCTATTGCCGGGCTAAACTGAATAAAAATTTAAATAACCATAAAAGATTCAGAACGTACATACATCTTATTGACACAATTAGACAAAGTAATAATCAACAATACCAGCAACATGCATTATAATAACAGAATAACTGAAATAAATATATCGAAAATGAACAAAAAACTGAAAAAATAGCAAGGTAATATTTGTTAAAAATACAACTTAAAAGGAATAATATTTATGATAATAATTACTTTAGAATATAATCTGTGAAAGATTGATTGATATTACAGTTTCCCAGGTCCCTGGATCCAACTCTTCAGCTTCTGAATCATCAGTACCTGTTTCTATTTTTTTGTGGTGAACCATTTTTTTCAAGTAGGAAAATTCTGGTTTTACTCTGCTGAATATCATGGCGAGATTCACATTCAAGGGTCACTATAACTGATTTTTCTAGGTTGGATATCATGCTTATGTTTTGTTAATCTATGTAGCTACATAATGTCAGTCTCTCTAAAGTAGTTTGAAACATATTTATATTCTAGTTTGTACACTGCTTTAACTCTTTCAGCACGGGCTCGGTTCTTGGGATCAACCTTTTAACCATTTTGTGCTTGTGACAGTTTTCATGCTAAACTTTTAAACTTGTAAGCGTATGTTAAAGAAATTTGGCAGATTATCAGTAAACTTTTCAATGCTTTCATATGCATAATATCAATTTTCTTTATTAAGTCTTAAGGTTTGTTAAGCAATGTTTTTCTCATGCCTTTTTTCCTTTTTGCCTATCCAACATGCAAAATAATTTTCATTTTAAGATTAAAAATACTTTTATGTATTGAAAACTTTTCAAATTTCACATGCGATATCTTTATAATGTCCAGATAGTTATCAAATGTTTCTTAATAAAAAACGTTATATTCTATGTTATTTTCACTAACAAATCTCTGTACAAGTTTGGTAGATTTGACTGATCTTGTAACCACCAAACAAATTAGGAAATAAATATAAATTATGCCTATTTCATTTTAGAATGACAACAAACTATAACATGGAAACATAAATGTTTAGACTAAATAGCTTAAATCTTATAACATTATACATTTATATATATTTATTATTTTTATATATTGATCTTTCAGCCATGCCTGGCTAACAATACAGAAGTTACAATGATGTGGCACAGTTATTTTCATGTAACTGTATCCAATAATATAAAACTGACCTTTAGTTTTTACAAAGTGACCTGTCTTGGCCGTGTTTTAGTAGAATATTGTTTTGTAAAATACAGTCACATTTCAATTATTATACATTATATATGTATATAGATTATTACTCTTTAGAAAATAAGTTCTTAAACATAGAACAGTAAATAACGAAGTACAGCAAACAATTATCTCTTCTAGTTATGACCTTTGTACTCGGTTGCTAAGTCTTTTCAATTTTTGCACATTGAGGATATGAAATGAAATAATTTTTTAGGTTTTTATACATACAGTTGAATAACCAAAAAATCATAAATTACTATATCAATACCATAGATTTCCACTAGAATTTATCAAGCTTAGTAACTAAGCTGTACTTGAGTCTAAAAAAATATGAAATTTCAAACAGACTAAAGACACAACCTATCTCCTTGAAATCTTGGTTTGAAATAACGAGATGGCATCCTAGCACATGAAAATGTTGAGAAAGCTACTAGGGGGGCATTCTGAGCTTTTTAATTGGTTATTCACATGTCATTAATTGAAGTAAGTGTATAAAAGAGACCGTTTCCAAAAATGGAAATAGGTGAGCAGGGCCACTGTGTTTGATTCAGTGCATGACTGATATCTCAGCAAATAGAAAAGATATGAGGTTCTTATTTTATATTATAGCTTTTCAATATCAGTAATTTGAGTTTCTAATTCATATGAAACTATAGACTTAGTATTTTGACATCACAAACATCTAATTTGAACCAGAGCTGCATTCAACATACCATATGACACACCAAAATTGATGTTTAACTGTGTTTCTTTAATATTTACTTTTAAATTAAGAAATTAAATAATGTA